GAAGGCAGAGAACTGAAGACCACGGATGAGACCGAATGCATTCGTATGTGCCATGTCCTTGTAGGTCAGCACTGTGTTGTTCTTCGCGGTGATGTAGTCTGCCAAGTTGTGATCAAGAATGAGACGGAGGAGACGGTTCAGCAGGGTCAGGTCGATCTTCTCATACACCTTGGAGAAGACGGTCTCCATCATCACGTTGCACTCGCCCTCGCTCGTCTCCCAGATGTCTGTCAAGTTGTTAATGCCTTGGCACCACTTGTACACAAGCAACGGCGGTGGCTCCGTGTCGGCAGGTTTGATCCAGGCAGGGAACAACCCTCTTTTATCTGCCTCGAAGAAGAGGAATTGATCGAGATACTGTAAGGTATCAACGTCAGCATGTTATATAACGGAGTAGATGCTGAAACCTACGGCGTCGGTGATCTTCTCAACGGGCTCGATGTCGTAGCACGGAATGAGTTTGTCGTACGTGTCAAAGAACTCAATACCAGCCTCCTTGAACGCGCGCTGGGTAAGAAGCAGTCGCTTGATGCGCGACAGACATTCGTGCGGATTGTCATACGCCTGTTCAATGAGGGCAAGCTCCTCACGCTGCGACTGGTTAAGACGACCCTTGACTGAGTAAGCCTCCTTCAGTTTTTCAAGTGCAAGTACAAGTAATTTCGTATCGTGCTTGTACGACAGAGGGCTAGAGAAAACGGTAAGTTCAAAACGTGCAAACCATGCCTCGCTTGCTTACGGGAATGGTATAGGAGCAAATTTACGGCTTTCAAGCCAGTGAACAGTCGCTGTGTAAATTGCAACGGCCTCCTCCGCACTGATGTACGGCCCATCCTTCAAGTACCCATGCTGCCTTTCCTGCTCTGCTTTCAAGTACAGGCGTGTCAGCCGACCCAGATTTTTCTTCACTACGGCCTTATCAACCGTAGCACCTCGACGGATACGCTCCCGATTATAGTGTGCAACCGAGCACCACCAATCAGCTTTGCTCTTGATATACCGCAGGATAATGTTCTCAATCGCAGTGGGCATTCCAGGGACTTTCCATGGAATGTTCGCTTTCCAGCAACGCCACGCCTCCGAGAGATGCTGCAAAATCGTTTTCGACTTGTTTTGCTTAATAGACTCAGGCATCATGTCGAGAATGTCATGCATGACAGCCGCACGTAACTCAAGGTCATAGTGAGACTCGACACGTTGCTTTGTCACAGTCTTCGCAATGCCCTTGCTGTTGCGTCCCTCGAACTGACGCGCGAGGAGGTTACCAAGCCAGCGCTCGAGTAACGGTACAATGCCTCGCATGAAGAAGAGCCAGACACGCCAGCCAGGAGCCCAGAAGCCATTTCCAGGACCCTTGCCGACAGGGCCAGTATTAAAGCGGTAGTAGATCAAGTGCTTGAGATCTTTTGTCATGCGAACTTGTCTCATGAGCTGAATGAATAAAATCAACAAAATAAATTTCCCCTATGACCGAGATTATGCGAACCTTGTACTTGTACCGGTACATACCAGTCAATGCCCCAATGTGCGCAAAGATATACTGCAGTGCATCTGCAAGCTGGAAAGCATCGACATTGCCAAGGCGGAACTGAACATGAGCATCAACAACAAGCTTTGTAAGGCGCAGAATCTCGCGACATAAGTGGAAGGCGTTTCCGAAGCGAGACTTTTTGCGCTCCTTCGTAGTAAGCGTCTTCACTGGCTTCAAGTTCATGTTATAGTCGAGATGTAAGTAGTTCAAGTTCTGATGATGGAAATTAGCTTCAATGTACCCCGGCGGTCTCTAAGAAGGCTTACCTTTCTGTGGATGAGGAGATTAAGCATGTTATATCCTTGTCTGCACACTTGCAAACCGGCTTCCACCCAGTCAAGTTTTGTCGTCTGAAAGAACTTCGTCGCCTTCAACTGCCGGAAGAGATTCTTTTTAGTCATTGCCTTCTCAGGTCGACTCTTGAGTTCGTTGAGGACGAAACACTTGAGCAATTTCTGGTACGATACGCGAACTTTGACTGGCTGGTTAGGAGGACAATGCTCCAGATACCAGTTCTTCACCAGAGGTATGTCCTGCGCACGACGCATGCGGCCAGAGCGTCGATTATAAGGCTCAGGCGCCCACCACAGAGCAATACCATCAGCAGTGAGGTCGTTCTCGAGGGGCCTGTCCTCAAGGAATGGTTGCACTTCATCTGGCAACTCAAAATCGTCGTCGTCGGCGCCATTCGGACCGAATATAGAGTCTTCGTGAGAGACAAGCGGTGCGTTCTTGGGATGAGCGCCGCGCAGGGAGATGGGATTGATGAGCGGGTCGAAATAGAAGGCGGGTAGGTCAGGATCATCAGTGCGAATGTAGACATTCTTGGGTGCATGATATGGAGAGAGGTGAACAGAGCGCGGGAGAGAGTTATAGAGATGCGGGAAGGCAACCTTGTACTCGGTACGGATTTGTTGACGAATGATGACTTTATTGACATCATTGAATTCGTTCCAATCTTCGTCGAAAGCATCCATGTCACGGTACAATGGCTCAAACTTCGGCCCTCCAGGAATTGCCAAGTTCAGAGCTTTTGCAGTGAAAAAGGATTTCTTGTCGAAAAGATAGCTTGCGTTGTTATCAGGTTGGTCTGATAATAGGGTTCTCCCAAGACGATATAAGTTCGCCATGACGGGTAGTGAAAGTTGCCAATAGCGATATGAGGGGCCGTTGACTGCAGATGTGTCCACCAGCGGCTTTGGGTCGTAAAACCAATCAATGATAGCAGAATCTTCCTCTGAATCGAGCTCCAGTTGAATGGCTTCAAGAGGCTCAACATCCAGTACGTTATCACCGTAATCCAACGGTGGCTCTTCGTCATCAAAAGGTGGAAAACGCATACGCTTGAAATGTCTGCGGTCACGCTTCTCTCGACGCATCGCTAGCCACATGGAACTCCATTGAGCATGATAAACAGGTTCGATAATGCGGGGGATCTCATTGACGAAAGTGATTGCGCCAGTGATATGATAAAGGACGGGCACCTCGCGAACCTGCTCCCAGGGGTATGGAATATTTTCGAGCAGCTTCATTACAGCGTGAGGGACGTATTTCAAGGCGCCAAGGTGGACACGTTTATCATTGCGAAACTTGCGGTTGCTCATATCACCGTGGTCCTTGATAATTTTACGGACGTGCTCCGGAGGCAAATCCTGGGCAATCATTGTTTAATACGTGTAAAATTACATACCAACTGAACGCACCTGTTTTCCCATATCGACGTACCCTCCTTTGCGCTTTTCGCCGTAGCGCTTCTTCTGCATAGACACCCATTTCTGCGACTTTTGTGCAAGAACTTCGGGAGGCATCTTTGAAGTGGACGCCTGTAGAAATCCTGGCGGTGGAGGCATGCCTGGTGGTGGGGGTGGTAAGCCCGGAGGAGGACGAATGAACGAACTCATGGTCGTCGATGTTGAGGGCGACGGTGAAAGTTTGGTCGATGACTAATTACCACTCTCCTTCAACTTTTAATTTCAAACTCCGGCGGTTCAAAATGTGATTACTCATCATCACGAGCCTTCAGCAACCATAAAAATGTTTAAGGATGCCCAAGGCATTATTCTGCTACTAGGTGAACTTTGAATAAGAGACGGAATTCTGAGCAAGAACTATGATCCATAAGCAGTGCTAGGTAAAAAATGGAGAAGTAGCACATGAGGACTCAAAGAATCATCAGGGAACTGACATGAAAAAGATAAAGATTGACAAAGCATTATCTAAAGTAAAGTCTGTATAAAATCTGTCATAATTGTACTCCAAATGAGAAAGCTTTAAATACCTGGACAAAGTTGGATAGAACCCACCAAATGCACATTGGTGACAGTCTTGTCACAGCCACCTTGTCAGCTTATCATCACAATGGAACAGATTACAACACCCACCACTGACCAGGTGTGACAAGCATCAGCAAGAGACCTATAATTTTCACTTGTCAAAAAGAAGTTTGATGCTTATGGTGTTGGTGATGGAGCCACATGATTGGTGGAACAGATTTTTCCATAGTATGCTGTAAATATCTCACATCAGTAAACTGACACGCTCTGTACAGAGCTGTACAGGGCCTGTGACACAGAATGCCAGGCCTACAACCTGATCCCCTTTGGACAGCTATGTACAGTATCTGACAGAGCCTCACAGAAGGCACTTTTGGGACTCTGTATATTACTTTTCCCAGTGCTTCCCAATAATATAGAGCGCTAACAATACAAACAAATAACCGATAAATGTGATTATATTGCGCTGACAAACACGATATAGCTAATACTAGTACAGAATCCGGCACCAAGCAACATGAAAAATGATGTAGAACAAACACTACTAGTCGAGCACTACCTTCAAGTGATCATGCCTTGCTTGCAAGCCACACATCAGTAAAACACCACATTGCTTAAATTAACTTAATGGGCTTGAATTGGTGTCCAAGTCAGAATAAGTTGGTCTTTCTCAAAGACGTTCATCTTAATATAAGCTTCGCATCTTAGACTCACACATGACTTAATAGAACTTGAATTTTGCGCAGTAAGAACAAATAAGCTCTAAGTTTGCAAGGCCAACAAGATGCAAATTGTGCAGATGGTAAAAAATCAACAACAAATAGGAATGATTAATTGATTAATTGGCTGATATGGATGGGGAATGGGCACAAATACGACAGGGAGCATCATGGGCCTGGGCCCGGGCAAGTAAAACACAGAACATGAGTGCAACAGGACCACACCCATGCGCATCATTTTCTTCCGAGGAGGCGCAAATATGACAGGGAGCATGAGCCTGGGCAGGTAAAGTGCAGAACACGAGCGTAACAGGACCGCACCCGTGCACATCATTTTCTTCTGAGGAGGGCGAGTGCATTGAGATATGTATATAACCGGCAACAAAAAAAATAACCACTGAATGAGCCCCTGCAAGACAGACAAAACCCTTTGCCAATTAACAATGAGTTACATGTGGGGGTGAACACTACTCGCCTTCAACAGAATGCAAAGAGGTCAGCAAATACATCATCCTCATCAGGCGCATCACTGGTGGTAGTCCCCGAGTTCCCAACACTTTTTGCATGCTTGGCGTACTGTTGTGCCTCCGCAACAATGCTTGTGAAGACATTGTTGGAAAGTGCTACAATGGGCCCCATGAGCTTGACGGTCATATGCCCCCAGATAGGTTTGCTGAAAGCAAACTGCTCGCCCTTTGTGATGACGGGCGTCCAGATATCACTGCCATCGGTCTTCATGCCTTTGCGTTTGCCACGAGATTCTTGAATGACTTCGAAAGTGATGTTCCCATCGACGATTAGCTGGAGAGTACAATAAACCTGAAAAGAATATTTTTAGAAAAAACACAGCAGAAATTGAATCACTTACAGCAGTAACAGTGAGGGCAAATGCAGCCCATGCACTAATGCTCTCGGTGTCGAGGTCAGGGACTTCAACACAGCCAAAAGTGAAATTGAGGTGCGATGCGAATGTCTGAAGTATGAAGGGAGATCTCCACATGCCGGTCCAGTCCTTTGAACAGACAATTGAGATGGTTTCGTAGTAATAATTATGGGTACTTACCTTGGAAATGAGTCCTGAATTATCCCTGAAAATAAACCGGTTATGTTTCAGCATGGCCCTTGAAAAGTCCTCGCGAGCTGCAGTATCTGAAAAATCGGCATCCTGTGCGAAAAATGCGGTAAGGATGGAGCAGGCTGCAATACCGAACCCTCCGCGCCATTCCATGAGGCGTTGTTTGGCCTAGTACAAATGTCAGTGAACTTCTGAATGAAACAAAAACTATGGACTTACCACTTTCATAACGGCACCAGATCTGGAGATCTCGTGCTGAATCTTGCCCCAATATATATGGTTCCACATCTCTTGCATGGTGTCCCTTAAATCGTCGTCTTCAGGACCCCAAGGCTCAGCTTCTCCACCGGCCCAGTGTGTGACAGTTGGTATGAACACCTGACGCCAGGTGTTACCATCCTGGCATCCCTCGGGAAGATCGTCATTCTGGTACCGGTGATTGGTGCCACTGCCATCACGGCGTGATGTGGTGTTCTTAGTCTGCGGCTCAGTCTTCGCTCGTTTTGAAGAGGGTGCTTGGCTATTGATGCTGATGCCTGTTAAAATCATGCACAAAGGGTAGGACTGATTCCAAGGGGCTTGGCTTCAGCTCGTGCGCTGCGCCCCTTACCCGAGTATGTGCCCTTAACTTCAGAATGAAGTCCGGAGAAAGTCCAGTGAAGTCCAAAGGACTTCTGGAGAAGTGTGGGAAACTTCGGAAGGACTTTCCGGACGAGTGCGAGAAACTTCCGGATGAGTGCGGGAAAGTTCCGGAGGAACTTCCGGAAATTACGATGGAGTTTCGTCCTGACGGGGATATGTGTAATGGCTACTCAGGACAAGTCCTGAGTAGAAGGAAACAGAGGAAAGGCTGCAAGGACAAAGTCCGAAGCAGAATAGGTCCGGAGGACCGTGGGAAAGTTCTGGAAACTTGGAGGATCAGAGGAATGGTGGATTGGAGAAGTGGAGGAGCGGAGGAGCGGAGCTCCGGCCTAGGGAATTCCTCCCTAGGCCTGAGATGGATGATTACTAAGTCGGAGGAATAGAACTGTTATGAGGACTTAGTGTGAAGACTAGTGCGAGGACTAATATGTGTAATATTCAGACTGAGGAAGTACAAAGATTCTACAGAGTTTATATACTACAGAGGACTTAACAGAGAGTCAGTCAGCGCAGTCCGAAGCTATGCGAGGCTGTGGATGGAGGATGTAGAAAAGTCAAACACTAGTCTATCGGAAAATAGTAAATGAAGACGGAGATGAAGACATAGGAAAATAAAGCCGGAAATGAAACGAGGTACGGAAAATGAGGAAGTCTAACTCAAGAAGGAACATACAAAGGGATAAGGCACAGAAGATAGACACAGGTCGGATCCGGATGTCCGGAGATGAATGTGTGATAGGTCCGGGTCCGGAACGCGGGATATGACACTAACTTGAGAAGGAACATACAAAGGGAAAAGGCAAGGAAGATAGATGTGGGTGGGATCCAGATGTTCGGAAGTCCGGAGACAGGTGATTACCATAAGGGGATGGGCGCTGATTTAAGGTTTGGGTTTGGACATGACAGATAGGTCGGATCCAGAGATCCGGAGATGTGGATATCAGATCTGGCATCCGGATATCAGATGCAGGAGTACAGGGATCCGGACGGATAGAGGATTGGGTCTGGAGACATGGACAGGAGGTCCGGAGGTCCGGATGAGGCGTGGGAATGTCGTCGGATGTTGGTCCGGAATGCAGGATATGACAATGCCGGTCTATGTTTAGTGGAGAGAAAATCAGACAGATATCACAAAATAAGTACCGATTTACTGAAGTTGTCAGGCGTTTGGTGCCTTTTGCTGACACAGGGGCAGGAGGTGGTGGTGTGTCCTCGCTCTCGCCAAACTCAATGTGTGTTGACAGGTCACTGACGAACTCAGTTGGGATGAACCTGGTGGTGGCTCTGGATGGTTGTGTAGAAGGGGGGGCACAAGGAGGGGGGGAGGATAAGGACTCGGTCCTTGCCATTATTGGTGGGCATTTTTTTGGTCATGATGGAGGCGGCGATAATGAACTACTATCACTAACCTCCAATACATCCTGAGTGGGGAGTGAGTGTGACATGAGTGCGCAAAAGATAAAAGAAATACCGTAGAAGATGTGTGCCTGGCACCAGGCTTTTTAGTAGCCTTGAAGGCAGCCTGACGCTCGAGTGAATTGTCCTCATCCAAAAACGCTGTGGTAGGTTCTTCAAGATTGCCTTGGACATTGTTTGTGGGGTGTGGGCTGTGAGTGGGATCAGCATCGGCGCTAGTCACTTTTGAGATCTTTGAGACGGCAGTTGAGGTGGTAATCGAAAACACCTGTCTGTGTGATGCGGTTCGAAGGCTTTCAAGTTGAGGCCGGAGCAACTTGCTTGTTGCAAGTTTCTCAGCCCAGTCCTTTGTTTCCCCCATCCCTGCATAGTCGTCCTTGGCTGCGCAGACATCCGCTGACACGCACCAAACTTGTTTTGTGCATGGTCATGGTTACTTTAGAGCATTGACATTCTCTACCGTACCCTACAAAGTTATTAAGAATTTTCTATAATACATTATGACTTGATTTGAGCAGTTTTCAGACATAACAAACCCATAACACTACATAATAATTCAATTAATACTTATCCTATTCAAAGATAAGTTCCAAACATACCATAACACATTACTCAGCATCTTTTTCTCACAACATCATAATTTTCTCACACATTCTTCACATTTCTTTTGTATGTTCTGAAACATATTCAATTCAACATTTCAACATATTAACAGTTCATGGGTGACTAATGGCTTAGTCAGATGAAATGGATTAGTAAGATGAGATGAATTAGTCAGGAATTTGAATGGAGAAAGTTGATAGATGAGAATATTCAAGAAGTAAACAAGTTATCATGGGACATCTCTATGATGACTCAGTTTGAGTCATTATGAGTCATTTTCTTGTCTGAGTCGCTATGAGTCATATTTCCTTATTTAGATAGGTACACAGCCACATTTAGAATAGTATATAAGGGGCTCTATTTCCCCTCTGAATAATGACAATCTCCCTTTTTGAAATCAAACTTCCTTTGAAAGGACAGACAATCCCCCTTTAAGAGAGAGGGAGGAGGATTTGAGTATCTTCCTGAATTTCTCACCCTATATTTGTGTGAACATCTGAGTGAATATTAAGTTTATTCCCTCCATTCTTTTGTCATCTTTTCCCACAACATACTGATTTTCTGAGGCCTACCTTGAGCCAATCCTTGAATTACACTAGCTGGTACACGGTTATCAGTCATCTAGTTGTAGTTTCGTCACATTCTCTTTACGGCACAGGATACCTTTTCTGTGGGGAGAATTTACGTATTTTTTAACGATTAGGAGGACAACAAATAAGACTAGCACTTTATTCAACAATATTAAGAGCTTGGCTGCTTTAAGACTACATCAAGAGGGTGTACTCTGTTCTGATTCTGCGTCATACTCATCGTGAGTGCCTGAGCAGCAGAGAAGTTAGTTTCGAAGCCACGTATTTCGGTTGATTCGATTGTGTTAGAGGCTTAGTTTGATCTCCTCTAATTTTTGAGAATAGGGAGTGTTTGCAAGATATTACTCTGATTCATTGTATACCATTGTGAACCATATCTGCATCTTCATATTGCATACTTTTGCACTCATCTTCTAATAGCATCGTAGTACTGCATCAAGCCAGTTATCGATTCGACTACACCACTTACGATCTTCATCTTTAGCGTCCTAAGCACTGCATCGCGCCAGTTAACGGACTAACAACTCTTTCATAGTACCTAAGCACTGTATCAAGCCAGTTAACGGTCACTGTCTCAACACACCTAAAGTCAATAGAAGTTTGTTTAGAACGACCCTGCTATTTACGCCTCCTCCCACAAACGACCACATTATCAACCATTGGTATTTGTCTGAACCGTTGACCGTAGAGGATAGTGAGAACTGGTGATTTTATTGCCAATCACATCCTAGTAAGACACCGCACTGAATCAATTGAGGTGATCGAGATGAAAAAGTGTTGTTTCGGTGAGTAACAACATGGTAGTAGATGGGAACAATTAGAATCACTTACATGAATCCTTTCTTGCCTTTCTGGTCACCATGTGCCTTTGTGCAATCAGCATCTGATACAACATCATTCTGATGGCTCATGCCATCATGTTTGATGCCCGTATTATTAACACTTCGCTCAGCTTGGACAGCCTCACGATATGCTGTCTTTTGTAAATGCTTGTTCCTCGGCTGCACCTCCGCATTCTCCTCCTCACTGGATACAACATGGTCAGCCCGAGTGTGCATGGTGAGTCCCCTGGAAACTTACCTTAGATGAAAGTCCTCATTGCCATCATTATCATCTGCAGCTATATTCTTCATTTCAACATCCTCCATCTCAGCCGCACCTTCCACAATCCCGTCATCATACTTGATGTTTGGCTCGCTCACCTTTGACTTCAAAACAGGACGTGCCCGAGGCTGAGGCTTTGGTGCATGCATGAGGATCTTCAAGTCCTTCAATGCCTTCTTGTCTTCAATAGAGGCAATCTTCTTGGTGGTGCACTGAGTGGCAGCTTCCTTCTCCTGCCGTTCATGCTCAACTTGCTTGTTGTCTTCCTGGATTTGACGAGCAGTGCGTCTTTTCCTTTTGTTTTGGAGGAGAATCTCACCAGGATGCTGGTTTGCATTTTTAGGACGAGTGTTTGGGTGCATCATTGTTTGAAAGGTTGGGCTTGCGGAGGAGAAAATTTAGTTTGGTGTAAGGCAGGGTGGTCGCGATGGCCTTTGAAACTTTAAGTTACGTGTCGCACACCCTGTTTTGTATGTATTACATTACATTCTACCTAGTGTGTTTGCTAATGGTTCGGGCTTTTCAGTTGGTTTTCCAGGATTCTTCCCATCCATCATGCCGGACGAGATCCCACATGTGCAACTCAAATGATGGGCATTTAGTGCCCGATGCATTCAATGTTCCTACCCAGGCTGTGAACACTGGTTGAAAAATGCCTCTGGGCTGAAGCGTCATCAAAGCTCAGCCCATAGCCACTCATTTACCCATCCTGGTTTGCAATGCACGCAATGTGCTTCTGTTGAAGAAATCAAAGACGAAGAAGCTCCAAGACGCACCAACAATGAGCTCTGGGAGTTAAAGCATGGACTCATTCGGGATTATCATGAGATGCTGACTGGTAAGTCGATAGTCATGATGCAGTACCAGCTTGTATCTGATGAAAACCTATACCCACAGGTTGTATTTGTGATGAGAATGGCAACTTTCTCAATCCTGGTACTCCTCCTCCACCATACATGGCAAAAAGTCCTGACGACTGGACTCCGTATCGCAACCGACTAGAGTTTGAGTGTGCGGATTTTATATACACTGAAAACCAGATGTCCGCTGGTGATATCAACAAGATTCTCTACTTGTGGGGAATCACTCTCGCTGTTCATCATGACAATCCATCATTTGCTGACTACAGGGACTTATACAATACTATCGACGCAACACTGCTAGGCGATGTTGCATGGGAAAACTTCTCCCTGAAGTACAACAGCAATAAACCCACTGGAGAGTGTCCGCTCTGGATGGAACAGTCATACGAGGTTTGGTTCCGGGACCCTCATACTGTCGCCAAGAACATGCTCGCGAATCTGGATTTCAAAGGTGGAATAGATTATACACCCTACCATGAATTTCAGGAGAAGGATGAGCAACACCACTATAAGGACTTCATGTCAGGAGACTGGGCCTGGCAGCAAGCAGTACATATTTTGTGTCTGGTAGTACTACATTCTTATGTTGATGTCATGTACAGGACGAAATTGCACAGGACCCACAAACACATGGTGCAGCTTTCATTCCCATCATCATAGGCAGCGACAAGACAACAGTGTCCGTCGCTACCGGTCAAAATGACTACTATCCTTTGTATCTTTTGATTGGAAACATCCACAATAATATTCAGCAGGCGCATCGCAATGCATTGGCTCTGGTTGGATTCTTGGCAATCCCTAAGAGTATGTACCAGTTTCTCTCCCGATCTACTTTGATGTTTACACTGTTGTATGCAGCGGAAAAAAAGAATTCAGATGACATAAAATACCGCAAGTTCAAGAAGCAGTTGTCTCACTCCTCGTTGTCGAAGATCTTTGCCAATCTCAAACCTGGAATGACGACTCCAGAAGTCACACGATGTGGTGATGGACACTACCGGCACATTATATATGGACTCGGACCCTACATTGCAGACTACAAAGAGCAGGTGGTATTGGCGTGCATGGTCAAAGATTGGTGTGGAAGGTAAGTGGCTACCAGAGATCCTCAGGACACTGCCTATTCATGTCCGCATTCATTTTATGCCGAGTCTCATTTACATTTGCAGATGCCTTGCATTTCCCTCAAATCTTGATGAAGGAGGTGTTTCTCGGTCACATGAACACACCAATGCGCTTGTGGATTCTGTTGATTTTGGTATACTTTGGGATGAGTATGGTATTATTGGTGAGTTAGTGGTATGTTTCCCCCACATCATTTGTGCATGGTTGTGATCACACTAACTGTCGCACTCCATAGCCCTTCACCAATGACTTTCCTCGTGCTGACATTCATGAGTTGCTCGCCCCCGACATACTGCACCAGCTCATCAAAGGAATGTTCAAGGATCACCTTGTTGAATGGGTGGGTCAATACCTCGAACTCATGCATGGAAAAACACGTGCCAAGGCAATTTTAGATGATATTGACCGAAGGTACTTTCAATCTGCCACTGTCTATCATGATGACTGACAATACACTAGAATTGCTGCTGCACCGCCCTTCCCTGGCCTACGACACTTTCTGCAAGGGCGTGGATTCTCACAATGGACGGGCGATGACTCCAAGGCACTGATGAAGGTATGTTTTTGTGCTTTAATTATCTTGTGTTTGTTAAATTTACACAACTGTTTATCTAGGTCTATCTACCGGCAATTGAAGGCCATGTACCAGACGATATGGTTTGGGCATTTCGAGCCTTGCTAGAGTTCTGCTACATCGTGCGCACAGATGTGGTTACGGACGACACTCTCACAGAGCTGAAAGATGCCCTTAGGCGTTTTCATACTTACCGTACCATTTTCCAGACTACCGGTGTCCGTTTTGACATTTCCCTACCCCAACAACACTCTCTTGTCCACTACGAGCTTCTCATCCAAATGTTTGGTGCTCCAAATGGCCTCTGCTCGTCGATCATGGAATCAAAACATATCAAGGCGGTAAAGCAACCATGGCGACGTTCAAGCAAGTACAATGCACTCAGCCAGATGCTCCTTGCCAATCAGCGCCTGGACAAAGTTGCAGCAGCAAGAGTTGACTTTACGATGCGCGGCATGCTCAAAGGGTCTTGCACCTTCAGCTACTACAATTCATTTTGTACGTGGTCTGTATGATTTTAATTGAATTTTACTCATTGAATTTCCAGTTGAGAATCCCTCATATATTGGCAATGATAATGGAGATCCAGAGGTCCAACAGAGCCGAGCACGTGCAGGGAATAACCCCTTTGCTATTGAGAGCGATGACTTTGATGATGTTGAGGATCAGGGCATCGTGGATGACATGGATGTCATTGCTGATGTGCAGTTAGCACGGACTTTTCGTGCGTATTCAACCTTTTGGTGACCTTTCTTAACACAACATTCAGAATGAAAACGTGCCCGCACCGTTGCTGATCTTGCAGACGAACTTGACATCTCATTGTTCCCAACCCTCATTCGCCTCTTCTTGTACGACCAAATACATGCAGATGACCATCATTCCTCTGCCGACGTTCCACTTTGCGACTGTCCATCCTACATGGGACCAATCAAGATTTTCCACTCGGCCGCTGCAACTTTTGTTGCACCCAGTGATCCAAGTGGAATCACTGGCATGCGCCGTCAGCACATCTGTGCTGTACCTTCATGGTGCAATGGACCAGTCCACTTTGACTGCGCCTTTGTCAACACAGATGATAGGCATGATGGAATGTTAAGCATGGATGTTGTTCGAATATTCTGCTTTTTTTCTTTCACTTTCACTAACGGTCGCACATATCCATGTGCCCTCATTCACTGGTTCTATCACATCACCGAGGAACGAGATGAGCTCACAGGAATGTGGATGGTGGCACCATCTTTCAACAAAGATGGCTCTCATGATCTGTCAATCATCCATATTGACAGTATCATTCGTAGTGCTCACTTACTCCCAATATTTGGTACGCAGTTCGTACCACACGGTCTTCAATTCTATGATTCTCTGGATGTCTATCGAGGATTCTACGTAAATTGGTTTATAGATCACCATGCTTTTGTGCTGGCATCTTAGTACACTCATTTTTCTTGTAATACTTAAGTTTAAAAATTGTCTTGAAAATGCTTTTCAGCTCTGAGTGTCTTTGTCGACTTGATGTTAAGACATTCAAGTCGCCCTCCAAGTCAAATTGAGACCTTGGACATCTTGACATACTTGGGCGCCAAACCAAGTGGAGTAAGTTCTAAATAAGTTAATTTAAGCAACATGGTGTTTTACTGATGGCCACTGGCCATCAACCTTGAAGCTTTGTGACCTGTATTTTTTGTGATACAGGCTATAAGACTTATGGTTGGCGTTATAGTTTAGATTCGGAGACTGATAGATAGACGTCAAATAGAAGAGAATATATTTTTCGGATATCTCCTGAATCATTATATATCCTTTACTCTCCAACAATCTCAGACACTCCGAAGTTCCGCTATGTTCAGCTTGTTATTCTCAACAGTATTATACAATTAGTGTGATAAGATTTGAAAGAAAATCACTCACCAGCCATATGCAGCCCACTCTTCAAGCTGTTTGATCAACTTTGGGCCGTGGTATTCATCCATCAAAATGATCTGGATCATCTCCATCATTTCTTTGTAGATCGGTTCATACTCCTTCGCAGTTGTGCGAATATTGAACATTCCACTTTGGCTGTGCTGAGGCTAGAGCAGCAGCTGCATTGCTTTTGTCTTCGTCCTGTGAGTACTCAAACTCAAACTCAGGCGTCAAAGGACGTGGGTTTGGAGGTGGTTGAGGTGTTTCCTGGAGATAGAGTTAGAACCAACAAGGAAAGTTTGTGAGTAGAACACAGAGGTCACCTGGATGAGTCATGTGGTGTCCATGAACTGCTCCCCAGTTACCGATGTCAGCATCTCTATCAACACCTTCATCCTCCTCTTCAGTGTCATCGCATGCTGAACTCTCATCACTCCCACTGTCCTCCGAGTCTAATTGACATACTGGGGGTTGTTTGAAAACCTCGGCACACTTGCACCAATTGATGACGCCTGAGTCCGTAGTGCTGGATCGATGGAATGCTCTGGAAATGTTGTGAGTGCAGCAGACTGATAGGTACGCTGTGATGCATTCGAAAACCCTGGCTCCAACTGTGCACTCATGACAGGTAATGGTGCTGTGCTGCGGGGGAGTGCCACTACATGGGGATTGATTCAGCTAGTAGTATGTGGGATTGCATCATTTCTGTGTGATATCTGACCCATGGCAGTTGCATACGGGTTATCCAGAGGCTGCAAATTTAGTTTGGTACCAGGTGTCATGATTGACGGAGGCTGCAACACATCACGTTGTGACTCAGATACCTGTATCAAAGTATTAACGTAGATGAATCTCAAGGATGATAAACCTTATCCCACATACATCCATGGAATTCATTTCAGCTGTGGGATATGGAGGAGGAGCAATATTCTAAGAACCAAAAACATAAGTCTCAATCAACGCCTTATTGTGACACATACCTTTTTAGATTTGCAGGCCTTGCGAGGTTCAGGAGCCTGTGGGTTCCTCGGAATATCAGGGTTGAAGGATGTAGAGCCTTTCAAGGACCGTTTGCGAGACAAGCTTTCAAAAACTGTTTCAAGTTTTTCTAGCTGTGCGTTTCGTCCACCTGTCCCCGCATTTGGACGACCAGAGCATCGAGGACCACTGAGTTCATCTGGAAGAGTGGGACGACTGTTAGTAGCTTCTACACTGCCAGTGCGTGGAGTCTGTGTGTTCTTGACTCGTCCAGCTGGAGGTCCATTATCAAAATCTTGACCCTTTCTCTTGCCTCTAGACTTCTTGGGGCTGGGCATGATTGTAGAAGGATGAGGCAAGACTGTAGAAGGACGAGGTAAGACAGGAAACATGAATTAATCGCCTGGACTCATCGTTATTTCTTCGATCCATTCTTTATACTCCTGTGATGGACTTTGAAGCATCTGATGTAATATTGCAGCAGCTGCCATTAGGTTGTCGTGCTATCTGATCCTGTATTTTGCCTTTAAAATAAGAATCAGCGCAAGACAGACAAATTGAGCAATGCACCTCAAGGTGCACATGTAATATGATCATAGCACCATGATCCAATCCCATCCAGTGTTGTGAAAATTCTGTCATTCGCCAAAGAAAAGATGGAACAGTCGCAAAAAGAACTCATCAGGGCAGTTGATGAATATCAGTGAGCATTGTGATGAGAAAGAAGTACAGACCAAGACTTACAATTACGAGTTACCACTGGTGTAGCACTTGAGCTCACACTATGCTCGTATTCCGCTGATTCACGATTCATGTCAAATGCCTGTTGCATGATAATCACTTCCCACTCAATCTGACACTTTGACAGCGGACCCGACACTTTGACTAGCGGACCCGACATTTCGGCCGCAGCGGACCTGATATTTTCCCGTGCACTTGTCCTATCCATGTCCTGTCCTGTCTTGCTAGCCCCACTTGGTGCATAGTTGATTATTTCGCACATTACTCACGTTGCAGCAAGCACTATTACATGTTTTCCCATAGTCCGTAGCACCTCATGCCTATTTACATGTACTTCGGACCCAAAATATTCTGCAGCTACTTTCACCTATGGGTTCCGCATTTCCACGTACTTCCATATATATTGGACTGACCTTGAGCATTATACATCATCCAAGTAGTGGGGAGCCGTTCCCTGACGCTTTGTGGTCAAACCCGATATTTCATAGTTCTTAGTTGACATTGCAAATATTACTGCTCTTTCTATCTGAAATACCCGTCATTATCAATATCTCCGCATACCGCTCGCTTTCCCGACATTTGCTATCATTATTCCCCATAATCCGCTGAACCCGCACCTGAAACCCGCTAGTCCGCTAACCCAAAAACATTGGACCCGATACTTTGGCGTCGGACTCGTGATTATACCTTCAGACTTTGTTTCCCGCACTCGGACTTTTGATGACTTATTATTTCACTACTTACAGACTAACACCAGATAGCTAACCCCTTGGGTAGAACACACTTGTTTACAAGTATAGCAGACTAGGCCGCGCAAGACCACAAATACTTACTTCATGTAGTGTCCACCAATTGTTGTCTCATTACACTGGCAACATTGATATATGCTATCACTGGCATACAAGTACAAGTTCGACTAGTACACACTAGTAAAAATCATGCTTGAATAGATAATACAAGATATTGGTCTAGGTAGCCTTCGTGCGTTTCATTGAAAGATAAGTTCCCTCAGATTCAGGGACCACAATTCTCTTGCGCTTCATCTCAATATCTTGCCCAAGAGGAAGCCTAGTGCCTGCGATGAGATGTGTCGTTCTGGAGAAAATTCATCTGATTTATACTCCAACAGAAAAGACTTCAGGAGTTCCAGCACTGCATCACAACTTACTGGCTTCTTGTCATTGTGTCGCATGATTTCCAACCAAGTTTCAGCGAGAGTCGTAAGGTCTTTGAAGTAGGGGTATTTGCTTGAGGACAGTCACCTTTCCCGAGTGGTAAAGAACATATTTGGCCCTGATACATGTTGTGATGTCCGGGTGAATCCATCCATCCGTCATCAACCCCTTTTCGCCCCACTCTATCCCAAGAGGGCCTGAGTAGTTGAGGAGGACCCAAAGAAATACCCATAGCACTGACTCAAGGTCGTCTGAATAGTCTTGTTCTATAGTAGGGAGTGCTCTGGGAGCAGTACCAGATGCTCTCTTATGAGAGTGATTCGAAGTGGTGGCCAACTGGCAATCTCAGCCTCTGCCAATTGACTGAGCAGCTTGTGCAACATGAAGGGTATTGTGCCTGTACCACCCCTGGTGAGTATTCTTTTATTGTCAGAGGGAGGAGTGCTGGTGGTGTGGATTGTGAATTCCCAGTCAATTAGGCACCCTCGAATGGCGCTGTAACGAGACAACAATTGCTGAACACTACACAAAGTAAGTAATCAGCAATATAAAAGTTGTGGTCTGACACAGCCTAGTCTGCTATACTTGCAAGACAAGTGCGTTCGACCCGAGGGGTTCGCTGTAAGGTATTAGAATAATCAGTGATACTAAAAAGAAGATAGTCCGAAGCGCGGGAAACAGAGTCCGAAGGTAAAAATGTCGGATCCGATGTTTTCGGGTTATGTCAGGTTACATCAGATTAGCATCGGGAATGTAATGAATGTTAGGGATAGTGAATGGCAGGTTGCTGTCAGTATTTTCGGAGTGTTTCGTATAAAGAAAGGATGATATTTGCGGAATTCAACCAAGAACTACAAATATCTAATGACCTCCTCCTACTCGGAGGTAGAAAGGTAAATAAGTAAGTAGGAAGCATGCGAAATATATAGTGTCTATGTAGAATTTCAGAGTGCTATAGGCGAAAGTAGTAGCGGTAATTTTCGGGTCTGATGTCCTATGTAATAAGACATGTGGTACTGCGGACATGTAATAATGCGGTCTACTGTGTTAGCGATGTGAAAACAGATAACTGCGCACCTAGTGGGGATAGATACGACAGGACAGGACATAGGGAGGACAAGTGCGCGGGAAAATATCGGGTCCGATGCGCAGGAAATGTCGGGTCCGTCGGATTAGCGTCGGACTACGTCGGATTAGCGGATAAACATCGGATTGAGTGGGTAAGTGTTGAATAACATTGGGAGGTGATTTGAGTGTTTGACATGCATTGGGAATTAGCTGAATACATGCTCAGCGCGAGCCTGAGTGCTACAGTGCCCTCGATATCTTCAATCATTGCGTTGTGGAGGCTACAATCATGATGGACGACATTGCGCTTTGATGCTGCACATATAACTGAGGTAGGGGGTGGGATGATCAGTGATTAGCTTTGGGTGATAAAAGCATATGTACTGGAAACAATATCGTGTAGCGCTGTCACCAATTCCCTCTTAGATCTGAATTCGTGCAATAGGTGGGCACATGGTGTTAAGACAAGGCGCACATGGGTGCGATGTGACTTAGATGTGCTCTGGAAATCCGTGAAGCGAAGGTGGCTGGTCTGGTCTTGAGTGTTATCGCCTCACTCAACAACCCAATAATCTATGAGCCAAGGGACTCCAGCAACACCCTGCATCTACTTCAACATTTCCACCTCATTGAGGATATCATCTGTCTCCTGTCCCTGTACCCAATGATCCTTGACAATGAACTCTTCATCTTCCAACTTGACCAGGTAACCAATGGTTCCTTGACCAGTAAGCCCTCAGCTGTAGAATAAGATTTGCAAGATGTCGTATATCTTCTCCCTCACGCAAATTTTACCAATGGGGTCTTTATTGGAGGGGGGAGGGGGGAAAAGCGATGTTGGTATATCCTCCATGTGTTCATTGGATCGGCCAGCACTGCACTTGAGAGAAGGAGGGAAAACCCTGCTGTCGTGTCTGTGTGGAGGAGATGATGATGTCTGCTACATGCGCTAAGCCGAATGACTACTGCTGTGACCCCAGACACCGCCGGGCCTCTGCCACCTCTCGCCCTGCTCCTAACTCCAGCACCCTGCTACTGCTCCTGCCTGATTGAGTCCACTGGAACATCCCACCGGCACGCCCCGTTACATCGTCAGGGCAATGTAGCACTCAGACTGGCGTTGGTCGAGTATACTGCCAAACCCATATGCGTCTCACATTATACTCCTTGACACTCCCTTTTACCTTCCAAGAGTTCCATGCACTCATCCGAGTCGTCCGAAGATCATCTGTCCCCTTCTGAGACCTGTATACATGTCCAATCCTCCGTACCATGTCCTTTCTGTATCCACTTGACTTTGCTGGTGCATTTTCACTTGGTTTTATCTGTTATTGATTATATCTTAGGGGCACATACATTGAAATGCCTGATTAATATGTATAGCTGCGCACCTCGTGCACTATTACATGCATATCTCTGTAGCAGCTCGCCATGAGTTGTATTACATTTTGGATAGCTTATCTCGCTACTGGTTTCGCCTACACAATTCCGGACTTTCACGCTGTAGGATATAATCTGACTCAACTACTCACACTTCACTTCACTTCACTTTCCTTGCTACAAGTCATAGTTTGTAGAGTCACTTCGGATAGTCGTACTTCGCGCAATCAATCTTATTGTTCATTCGGAATGATTGTTTGGCCTGACCGCTGCCATTTTGCACTTTGCTATCTCTTAGTTCTTCCAGTAGACTTTGTCTAGTTGTACTTCGGTACTTCTGCAAGTCTTATACTACAACATACTTCGACACATCCACTCTATCTCTCTCTCAGAACCTTTGCTGTTTACTGGAAGCTCTTTGGACGCTTTGCACAACCTCAGACCTTCATTTTCTAAATGTCGGACCATCTTTGGACACTTTGGACACACCTTCGGAGACACAGGACACACCTTAGGTATCTTTCCTTCTCTCATCCTTTGATCTTAACAAGACATCCCTTGCATTATATATTGAGAGGTAGTTCTATAGGCAGTCTCTTTGGAACGAGCATTACACTCGCACATTTAGTTCTAAGGTAATACAATTTGTAGTGCCCACACAGAATCAACTCTTTACAGTGATTGTCTGATGGAAGAATCCCTATCATAGAAGTGAACACGGCATCAAGGTGAGATGGGCCTTTGAGGTGTAACTCAGACTCTTCAAATTTGTGGGACTCCATGGTGTGAGTCACATATCCAGAGGTATCCAGAGTTGTCCGTGTGTCCAGCAACAGAGTGATCGCAGTCATTGCTAGACAGGCGACTTGCTTCAATGACACTCCTGCTGATCCCTACCCTGGACTCTCTAACACATGTCGCTCAATCACCAACTCCAAATAAAACTCACCAAACTCCAAATGCTGCCAGCAACTCCCCCATACACACTGTGAGTACAACAATTCTGATGGTAATTCAGAACAATGTGTTGGGTCTTGCAGAACCTAGCTGCTATTCGACCCTAAAGAGTTTCTGGACCAGGCTCAAGGCTCAGAGAAGAGGAAATGTCATAAAAACTGCTGAAGATTCAGACTCATATTGGATACTGGTGAAAAGGTTACTTTATTATGTAAGCTACAAAAGTGCAAACATAACACAAAGGTAAAAACAGTCTCTACAAGCCTAGCCAGGAATCAGTCCCTACAACACATCAACCACAAAACATTCCCTAGATGGTTTCACACCAACAAAGGGCTAGAAGATGTCTGTAGCCTACATTTAATACAGCTGTAGGTCATACCTGCAAAAATTTCAACTAATATTCTCATACATCTACTCATGCTGCAAGGTACAGGCGATCATTTAAAAGACCAATGCTGGCTAAGCGATACTCGCCTTCACTCTGTCAACCTGCTCCTCCTCAAGATTTGAGAAGCCAGTGACAGCTTTGCCAGACTCATCAGTCATGCCAATAAGGGTGCTGCAACAAAGTGTCAGTAACATTTGTTGTAGAACTTGTTATTCATCAGGATCAATCTCAGAGAGCTTTTTAGTAGTTGAGGGACCCATCAGACTTACACATCTCATCGCCATACATCAAGTCTCACCTTTCGGCTATTCATCAGGGTAAAATACTCTCATCACTAGGTAGGGAGCCCTTGTGTGGCCTTCACACTGTCATGAGGTTTGTGGGGAAGAATGTAGACTGCAACTGATTCTCAGCATTCACAAATATTACGCCAAGTTTGTGGACAGGGAACAGACATGATGACTATTCATTCCAGGCTAGTGGGGATGTGTGTGCACCTTGCCACCACGACTCCACCAGGACTCAATCCAATTTCAGGCTCGCATCCCTGTCACTCAGTACTTCAGACTTAATCACCCTCCTTTGAGGTGAACATTGACCTGTTGCCTGTGTCAGCTTGTTCATTATGCCTGCACTGATGTCTCTTCTGAACTCCTGGTACACAAATACGACATCCTCATTCTAAGAACTTATGGATGGTTCACAATGCATTAATTGGCTTGGTCACCTGTGTTCTCATCCGTGGACTGGTTCAGCTCCTGCAGCTCATTCCTTGGCTGGACGTAGAGGGGCGATGGTGCAGGAAAGATGAGATACCAACTGGTAGTGAGCCTGATAAATTCTTGTTTAGGATGCTTAGTGATGTATCCTGGATGACAATATGATCTTGCTGGCTGAGCTTATGTCATCAGTGAAACTCTGCACATAATTTCTTGGCGCTGAACCAATTAATCTGATCCCAGCTGCAACTTGAAATTCTGAACCTCATAATATCTCTCCTGAAGAAATAGGTAGTAACTGGACATTTCAAAACTGTGTGTTTAGATTTTCTGTTATTATTCCTGTATGACTCCTGTTACAAGTAACATTGGTCACGTGGCCCCCCTATCATTTTCCCTTCATCCTCACCCTCACCATCTACTGGCTCGTCCTCCTCTACCGGATATCCGTTGACCGGATCCTCGGGACCGTTCCCATCCCTCGTCTCCACCCCATCATCCACCTTATCTCTGATAACGCACCAATGTGCGCACGTGCCTTGGCACCATGACTCGTCCAGACTCGTGCCACCAATGTGGCTTTCCCTTCTCATCTCCCTTGACTCGCACCTGCTGTGCATTGTAACTCTACCGTTGGCCCGGTCCAACGTTCATCAGTCTCATTCTGCATTTGACCTCTCATCACTAATCAGGCTGTGTTGCCAACATACCTATACCCTTTCTGTTTCCCCTTTACCCTTACCTACAGTACGGTAACCCAGCCCTCAACTCTTTCCACTTAGTATAAGTAGTTGGTCATCTTGTATTAGATTCCCTAACTTGAATCTACTCAATCTTCCCTCGAAACTACTTCCTTCAAGAGCCTCTCAGCTCTTGTCTCTAGTACGACTTTCTTAGGTGCTTGTTGCATCTAAGTCTACCTCGATCAACGGTCATTGTTAGGACAAGACTGTCTTCCCTTTGACTTCAGTGACTTCACAGACAGCTGTCTTAGAAGTCACGTGACACGTGCGTCTGTGATATCTGCCGACTCGACGTCGCCAGTCTCACTTGCTATACCGGACCCTTCCGGTTACGTCACGAATGTTAGCGGACGACGCCCCTCTTAGGGCTCCGCATAACAGATCTATTTGAGTGCATAACAACTCCTGAGTGCTGAGCAATCATCTTTCAGGAGATATCTAGCAATGTCTGACCAAACTCGAGGAGCCGAAGGTGAAAGAGTTGCTGAAGTTGAGGGTGCGTGTTGTTTCCTACCTTTCAAGAATCAAGTACTAATCTCACTTCCCCCATGTGCAGAAATAATCAAATTCTCTGACTTGCACATTCTGTCTGACGATGAACTACTAACACTGATGTATGGCATCTCCTGCAACTCATTGTCCCTTGACCCACCCTGTGATTCCAACATTGCATTAAAGTGGCCTCTGGAGTTACTGTTATCATCCCAATACAAACCTACCAACAACACTGCCCTACCTCCTGAGGCCACAAAACAATCTGACTTGTGGTGTTATCCACAAGCCCCTCCTTACATGCTAAACCCACTTCCTGATGATCGGTTCTCGTCGCCAGTATCGGTATGCTGCCAACTACTATCCTTGCAATGCACCGCACCTCCAGGATCAAGACTGTAAAATCACCACACTGCCTAACATATCCCAGCCCCAATTTGTCAATGGCAAGGCTATGCTAAAGTCAATTCCTGGCATGGTTAAAATGGAAATGGGTATTCCCTATGTCTATGAGATCTGTGGGGACCCTGGAAAGATTGTTACTGTGTGTTGTGCCCATACCCTGGAATCTCCCTGGACCTATCCAGAATACACTGTTATACACCAGCTCATGGATGAACTGCAATTGCTGACATGGGAAGATACAGGTCCAGCCTCCAGCAGTAATCCAATCCAAGTTGAACTTGAGTTCCATTTACTGTACACTTACAAAATCATAGTAACTCTAATACACGGCAACCACTGTCATTAGAGAACCAATACTCTATTGCCACCTTCAAAGGTCATACAAACTAAACCTGTTTTAACTTAGTTGCTGATGTATTCACAGATTTGATCCTCATTAAAGAAGTTGGTTTTATAATCCCATCATCCTGAATTTAAATCTGATCTTATGACCATTATACATGCCCTGCAAACTTGTAACATCACCAAATCAATATCCAACAGCGACCATTCACATCATCAAAATTTCACCACCATTCTAATCTCCAAACCTTGCATGCTTCAAACTTTGTTGATGACTGTTAAGACCATGCACAAAGGGTAGGACTGATTCCAAGGGGCTTGGCTTCAGCTCGTGCACTGCGCCCCTTACCCGAGTATGTGCCCTTAACTTCGGAATGACGTCCGGAGAAAGTCCAAGGAAGTCCGAAGGACTTCCGGAGAAGCGTGGGAAACTTTGGAAGGACTTTCCGGACGAGTGCGAGAAACTTCCGGATGAGTGCAGGAAAGTTCCGGAGGAACTTCCGGAAATTACGATGGAGTTTCGTCCTGACGGGGATATGTGTAATGGCTACTCAGGACAAGTCCTGAGTAGAAGGAAACAGAGGAAAGGCTGCAAGGACAAAGTCCGAAGCAGAATAGGTCCGGAGGACCGCGGGAAAGTTCCGGAAGAACTTCCGGAAACTTGGAGGATCGGAGGAATGGTGGATCGGAGGAGTGGAGGAGCAGAGGAGCAGAGCTCCGGCCTAGGGAATTCCTCCCTAGGCCTGAGATGGATAATTACTAAGTCGGAGGAATAGAACTGTTACGAGGACTTAGTGTGAAGACTAGTGCGAGGACTAATATGTGTAATATTCAGACTAAGGAAGTACAAAGATTCTACAGGGTTTATATACTACTAAGGACTTAACGGAGAATCAGTCAGTGCAGTCCAAAGCTATGTGAGGCTGTGGACAGAGCATGTAGAAAATAGTAAATGAAGACGGAGATGAGAACATAGGAAAATAAAGTCGGAAATGAAATGAGGTATGGAAAATGAGTATAGTCTAACTTGAGAAGGAACGTACAAAGGGAAAAGGCACGGAAGATAGACGCAGGTCGGATCCGGATGTTCGGAAGTCCGGAGACAGGTGATTACCATAAGGGGATGAGCGCTGATTTAAGGTTTGGGTTCGGATATGAAGCATAGGTCAGATCCGGAGATCCGGAGATGTGGATATCAGATCTGGTGTCCGGATATCAGATGCAGGAGTACAGGGATCCGGACGGATAGAGGATTGGGTCTGGAGACATGGACAGGAGGTCCAGATGAGGCGTGGGAACATCGTCGGATGTTGGTCCAGAATGCGGGATATGACATTAGGGCAATAGGACAAAGGATGAATGATGCAGGCTAGCTGCGGAGGTATGGAGGTCTGATGTATGGAGGTAAAGGGATCTGGATGTGGATGTGCGGATGTGCAGGGATCTGGATGGGTAGAGGACTGGAGACATGGATAGGGCATCTGAAGATCCGGATGAGGCATGGGAATATTGTCGGATGTAGGTCCGGAATATGGGATATGACAATGACACATCTTGCTTAGACTATTTTGATGCTTCCATCATAACTACTTGTATTGTGACATGGATCATAATTATCTACTTGCCCTATAAACATCCACTGGTCAAGCTACAGGTCTCGTCACTGTTACGCTTTAACAATGAACCCCCTTTACTACTAGCTGTAGGTTTACAAGGTAGATTGCTAAGGTCAAGTTAGAGAAACATACATGGTAACTACTAGGTATATAAGCATGTGTTGAAGCGGAGCTCCAATATGTAATAGGAGTCTGAATGGTAATCGTCCAATGGGAATAATCATAGTAAGAGTTGTACGATAATGTGGCATGGGAATTAGGTAGAATATTCTGTGATATTCTGTGAATAAGTGAAAGAGTGATAAGTGACTATGTGAAGATGTGAAGTGGTGAAGAGGTGAAGGTAAGCCTAAGAACCGTAACAGTCACCTTGCAATCCTCATAAACCATTCCACATGGCTCCAAACACAACTGCTAAGTCCTCCAACTCATCAGCTAGTACTAGTACCTATGTCTCAACCTCAGTACATGCAGCATCTGTAGTACTGGACAAGCTGCAGAATTCTCCTGGAGGGTTCTATGCTGCAATGCCAAAACTTGTGCATCGTGCAGAATGTTTTGCAGGTGGACGGAATGGCAACATCTTCATTGCCAAGAGTCAAGATGATGACCAAGAATTCATCATCTGTGGTGTATTCCAGATCAGTCGCAATGATTTCTACTTCACACCAGATGCCAACTTTGATCCTGCAAACATCTTTCATGGCCACTGTAGCACTCAGCCTCGTGCTGAGCACATATTCAGCTAATTCCCAATGCATGTCAAACACACGAATCACTTCCCAATGTTATCTGACACTTACCTGCTCAATCCAATGTTTATCCGCTAACCCAATGCTAACCCGATGTAGTCTGACGGACCCGACATTTTCCGCGCATCGGACCTGATATTTTCCCATGCACTTATCCTCCCTATGTCCTGTCCTGTCGTATCTATCCCCACTAGGTGCGCAGTTATCTGTTTTCACATCACTAACACTGTAGACCGCGTTATTACATGTCCGCAGTACCACATGTCTTATTACATAGGACATCGGACCCGAAATATTCCGCTACTACTTTCGCCTATAGCACTCTGAAATTCTACATAGACACTATATATTTTACATACCTCCTACTTACTTATTTTACCTTTCTACCTCTAAGTAGGAGGAGGTCATTAGATATTTGTAGTTCTTCGCTGAATTCCGCAAATATCATCCTTTCTTTATCCAAAACACTTCGAAACATCTCACAGTAACCTGACATTCACTATCCCTGACATTTGTTATATTCCTGACACTAACCCGACATAACCCAAACATCAGACTCAATGTTTTTACCTTCGGACTGGTAATTATACCTTCGGACTTTGTTTCCCTTTCATATAACTGATTATTCTAATACCTTACAGCGAACCCCTCGGATCGAACACACTTGTCTTGCAAGTATAGCAGACTAGGCTGTGCAGACCACAACAATTTATATTGCTAGTTACTTACTTTGTGTAGTGTTCAGCAATTGTTGTCTTGTTACACCGCTTCGCAGATGTCAAATTGAACTGTCAATTCATAGCAGATTGCAGTGACAAATTCAAATTCTCGTCAGAAGATTTCCCTGCCATTCTCGACAATATCTATGCATTTTAAAAACTAGTTCCCAGCAAGAAAGACTATGAGACATTCAGCATAATCTATGACTCTCTTGGGCAGAGATCCATCAACCTGAGGACTTTCAATTACTCATCAATCTTCTTACCTGATAACTCAATATATGATAAGATAGACAAAAACAATAGACAATGATGATCCTACTAAGACTCTGACTGACAATGAATCAACCAGTATGTTATAAATACCCTCCATTTGTTAACCTACTAATTCAACAATTTGCATTCATAACTGCAGATCTTGGCTCTGAATTCAACATCACAACTTGGCCCATGGCAGATTGGTGTAAAGGTCCTTTAGAAGACCTTATATCCACTCATGATGTGTAGCCGTTACCAGCATATGATGAGAATCACAAGCTTATTTCACTACTCCAATATGAATCCAAACTCAAAGGTGCACTGGTAGAAGTCCATATGGCTTTTTTCCATCATCATATAACCAAATCAAAGTGTGATGTCTTTAATGCTGAAATACAAGAACTAATTGTACTATCACTGCCATCGGCCATGCCAAGCAGTCCTTTCAAATGTCACTGCCTTAACACTGGCCCTTGGACAGAACATCAATATAAAGGGAAAAAACCAATCAGAGACTCTGGATCTTCACCTTAAGAATTGCAGTACATATTCACTTTGATCATCGATGTTTATACTTTACTAATCATATTGAACTACCACTAACAGCATACTCACTATCCAATCTTGTTGTAACTATACTACCAATGTATTCAAAATTCATAACTGAAGTACTAAATGATCACAATCTCACACCTCCGTATATAACTATGTAATTCTGTACAAAAGCCTCACCAGAACAAAACCTGTATTTGATACTGTACATGAATTGTAAACAAGGTTCCTGTCAATGAAGTTCAGCCCCACTCTAGTCATTATATCAACCAGAGTTATGAATATTTAAGCCACCTATGAATGACCACGTTATTAGTCATTGGTATTTGTCTGAATTGCTGACAGTGGAGATATTTGGTTGTATAGGTGTTTATTGATAGATCATCTATCTAAGAAGACACTGACAGCTCAAGCCGAGTGCTCTGCTCCATTGACAACCATATTGTGCATGAAGAGTAGTCATTGGCCCGCATTAATGTGACCTTATAGTATGTGTTTGCAAATGAAAATTTAGTGTTCAATGGTCCAAACCTGTTCTGAGCTCAAACTAAACCTTTGTGAATGCATTCATAGGAGTTTGGTCCAAAGTTCATCCTAACTGCCTGAACCTGACTGAACCGGACACTACATGACCTTTCACCCTCTTCAAAATTTGCTGCTGCTGGCTCCTCATTCTTTAAGTTTGTTTCTGCATCTAGTTGCTGCTGCCACAAGTAGTTGTAGTCTTTTCCCCACTAGTACTTAGTAGTCCTACCATGTAATTATCTACTTGTCACATGAATGCAATATCTTGTCTTTTTTGTTGAAACAAGTGTAAAATAAGTAGCCCCAACTTGCACTACTTGCAATGCAGGCTATTTTACAAATAATTGCCAAAAGAAAAAGCCAACAAAAAGCTTGGAAAAAGTTGAAGTCAAGAGAAGGTATCTGCTTTTTAAACTCAAATTGTCTTGTGGCAAGTTGATGGCAATTGGTGTCACCATTCTGATGAGTGACTTTTCCACTCCTTTTTGGGAAATACCTGGTGGCAAGTTGCAAAAAAGGAAGTTCAAGCAATGTGTAAATTTACTGATGCAATGGATGACTTTCCATGGGCAAAATAATGCAGAATAGATTATACCGTAGTTTGTAAATGATTGGAAATCACTGATATTATGATAATCTATGCAGCTTTCTAAACCGTAGTCACTTCACATTGATTAATATATAATAAATCCACTTTACTTGCTATTATGGATGCTGAAACTCCACAGTTTGCAACAATGAACAATAAGCAAATGGTAGAGCAAGAGGAGGATCAAGACTTGCAAATGCTTGTATCAATGGTTGTTGTTGGTGTGGAGATAGCAAGGCAAGACCACATTAAAAGTCAACAGCCAAGTCATCTTTACCTTCATCACTCCGAGCTGCTGCCCAATTGAGCCAGAAGTAGACCTCTTATGATTTCTTGCCAGACAACAGTTATCGGATGTGTTGGAGATGACTGTGGTTGCGGTATCTCAAGTCAAGGATGCTTACATCAACCATGAACTCACACATATCTCATTTCATCATTTCTTTTGGACACCAGAGCAGCTGCACAGTACTAGGTAGTAGTAGCAACAGTATATCAGCTGATATCACAGGCATTAGTGGCCTGGAATTTTAAGAACATGTTTATTATAATCTGAAAAACCTGCAAGAGGGAGGGGGAGTACCCCCCCTTTCAGATTAAGGTTTATTAGAGGGTAGAAAATAATGTTGAATTGCAAATCAAGCACATATGAAGTGCGGCATTGCAGCTGCCTTCCTAATGCAAAATATGATATTCTATCCTACATTTTTCAAGCCCATGGCAAGTCATCCAATTGCAGGAGTGTACTGTATAGTTTCGACACTAGGTTCATCACGTGTCACAGGCTCTGTTGAATCGAACCTATATTGGACGCAAAACGATGTGATGAGTCCGAAGGACCTGAGAATGAGACGATGAGGAAGG